AAAAACGAAAGAAGAGTTCTCGAGAAAGGAAAAAAAAAAAAAAAAAAAAAAAAAGAGGCAATCTCTCGCTCCCGCGGACGAGACAGCACAAGGTCTAGCGTAAACGTGGTCGGTTCATTAGGACGAGGTGTTTTTTTCCCCTCTCACTCGTTTACTTATACATACGTACACGCATTAGTACAACAGCAGCAGAGTACACGCGTATAAGCGGCCTCCTCCTCCTCCTCCTTTTCTCTTTCTGCGTGTGGTTGTTCGGCGTCGTCGTCGCCGGCGAACGAGGCCGGTAAATCAAGCTGCAATTAAAGAGCTAAAAAGCGCGGCTCCTTCAAGGCCCCGCGCGGCGCTCACCGGAGCGTACTTCCGCTTCTGATTAGCTTCCTCTTTTCCCACATCGCCCAGTCCTCCCTCTTTCCTCCGTTCGCCTCTCACGTATATGATTATTCTCCCTTTCTCTCGATCCCCTTCCCCTCCGCCTGTCTTACGTTCTCGCTCTTTCGCAACCTTTTCTCATTTTTTTCTTTTTTTTTCCCTTTTGCTTTCGTTTTTCATTTCTGCAACGGGAGCGAAAAATTGCGTTGCCAATTTCCCGAAACGCGGTGCACCGTTCCGGGAAACATTTTTGCAATTATTTGTTCGGCTCGAGAAAACATCGCTACACGTGTGCGTGTATACATGGGTACAATGTTACATGAATCGAAGCGCCACGGGTGTGGTAGAAAAATTTAAAAAATTTTAAATTCCAGACAATCGGATAGAAAGTCACGAAAGACCCGTTTTTTAATAACGTTTGTCGAAAAATAAACGAAAAGAAAAAAAAACTAATCCATCGTGGGTTAAACGCCATACGTCTATGCGTGTGAGAGATTAATTTTTTTTTTTTTTATTCAAAATTGGACGGGCTCTCTCAAAAAGAAATCTAGCGTCTATCTGTTGGGCAACCCTCGTGGGCCATTTCACTATTTCGACACTCACTCGCGGGGAATCCCCTTCTTTTCACTCGAAATTTCGGCCCAAGGTCCATTACGTATTCGAGAAAATGTATTTTTAAGCTTCCCACACATGCGTGCCCATAATGTTATCGCGGTGCTTGGCAGAGAACAAAAAAAATTTGTCAAAGCAACTTTTCACGATTCACGAGGATCCACGCGTCATTCAAACGTTTTTTCCAACAATTTTCCAACAATACTCCCTTCCCAGGACTCGTATAATTTTTCTCGCGCTTACTTTTGCAAAAAGCAAATCCCGCCTCTTTGTCTTTTTACCTCCCGGGGGCCTTTTTTCCATAACCTGGGGCTCTCATCGCCCTCCCCTTCTTTTCTTTTCTCCTATACGCGCACTCGGGCATCCATATCTCGATGGCTCATCTTACCCCGCACGTTCCGCGAAACGCATGGGAATCACACTCGCGCCATTCGCACGGAGAGGCCCCTCTTCTTTCCCTCCTATACTTTAGTCTTTATTTTCCATCGTTCCCTTTGGTCTCATCGCTACGGTTGGTCGGTGTACATTCATACACTTAAGTGACCGAGTTATACTCTGTAATGCAACGCGTCAATAAAAATCGGCAAGATCGGATCTCGTTTCGACTCTGAGCTTTTGCATACATGGAATGCCATCCCACGAAAATCACCCTGCAAGTGAGCTAGAAAAAGCCAAGGTGCGTTAGATAACAGCAGCAACGATCGTACGCGTCGCGAGCACATACTCCTATCCGAACATTCATCGGTCTACCGCAGTATGAAACATACGCAACAGCGCATTCTCGGTGCAATTATTATTTACAGGCCGATAACTAATAATGTTTGTATTTTGGTTCTCGGTCAACTCTCGTTTAGTTTCTGTGTACGCATGGGTGCTGCCATTTCGCCAAAACACGCGATGACTAAACACTCGAGATCGCTATACGTGCCGTGGACCAGTCGAATGTGGTCGTGATTCAGCGAAAGTTTTTTCCTTTCGAGGAGATAAAAGTTGAATTCATATATTATAGATCTTATTGCGGTGCCCGGGCTTTGGAGTGCTCATTCAATATTATCTATGGGAGACGGCGCGTCGCTGGACATTTGGAATGCGTTACGCAACTGCATGGACTTAATTATGCACATGTATATTACGTGAAGTATCAAATGTACTATTCCTCCCTCTGTGGCTGTTACCACTTGAGAGGCAACTGTTACTCCGCCCCATTGATAAATTCACTTTGAGTGAACACACATATTATACATCTGAGATTACAATAACAGTACCTACCCTCGAATGCTCGATCGAGATGAGCGTATGGAACAATGTGATGATTTTTCAACGAAACACAATAATATCATTAGCGGGAATGAAGAAAAAGCATAGGAGACGCATGGGAAGGCACCGAGTCGTGATTTTTCCATCAATCCTCGAGTAATACATGTTTACGATCCTACACGGAGTAGAACTCATTGTGCTTTCCACTTTGTTCGTTGCAAAGAAAAAAAAAAGACAGAGCGTATGCGCGACAGGAGCAGCCGATAGAATTGGTCGTAAAGAGCGCGGGATCGGAGCCCTCTGCTCCCTTTCTTTTCCCTCGGCCTGGCGGTGTACCAATCGATCCGATCTGCCGATCCACCGCCGATCGATCGATTGATCTTCGCGCCTAACGATTGTGCGCGTCGACTAGCTCGGCGCGTGTTTCGAAAGCCAAGCGGACTTATCGGCCCTGTAGATCGCGAGTTTCGGCGTCGACGGCGATGTGCACCCCGATCCTGTACCAATTGCTTCTTCTTCTTCTTCTTCGTTTATTTTCTTCCCCGCCGTAGAAAAACTGGCACATCGGGGCCGATTGTTTGACTCGTTGTTCAACAGCGCGACTGGGGGGGATATTTGTGCAGTAACGCGCGTGTTCCCGTACCGGGTGAAAGCGAATGCAAGGCTGTTACGTGTGCCCCGCGAGAGCCGGGGATTACGGAATGGAGATCGGTAATAACGAAGCTTGCGAGCACGTGCATCGGCGCCCGGAGAATGTGAGCATGTGCGCCCGTTTTTCGGCCGATCGCGTTTCACGCCTATGAGTGCGTTATCGGTCGACCCCCTTGGAGTGGAATTTATTTCGCTGAGGTGCATGAAAGATGGGGCTTTTCGTTTGCAGCCGAATATTTGAGATTCCGAATCAACAGCGGAGGGAGAAACGATGTATCTTATTTTTGATTTATGCTTCAGAGGATGAATATGATTGGTGTGTCGATTCGGTGAAGCTGATCATGGCTAAACATCTACTCGCGGATCGTGAATAATTTGTCGAAAGCTCAGCAGATGCACGTGCACGTAACATCTAATCGTTGATGATAAAAAAAAAAAAAAAAAAAGTCACTGCGATTCGCTTCTTGCGGAGAGCAACGTCAGCTTATTTGGCAGCGCAACAGGACAACAATCCGAGGTGAGATCGACACCGTCGCGTCGCGTATTTTTAGATCTCGCGCGTTATCGGGCCTCGACATCAGGCCCGGCGCGCGCCAGTCGAGAGCTTGATTTACGATTCGCGGCTTTTCCTTCCCTTCCTCCTTTCTCGTCGCGGAAGCGGTAGGCGAACGAAAAAGCTGAACAGCGGAAAAACGCATACGCAGTTTTCGTCGGGGGATGTGGTCATTGGGGGTCACCGTGTTGTGTTTGTTTTTCGAAAAGTTGAATGCAGGTGCAGTTGGAGTGGAGAAAAATAAAATTGGGCAGTCGGTTGCACACGAATTTTAGTTTCACAAGAGATTTTGAAAAGCTGCTACTATCACTACTACATATTATTTGCGCATGCACTTAAATTAGGGACCTTAGTTGGGCTTTGTTATCGTCACCGCAAAACTGGTACAAACTCGATTGTTATTGCTACAAAAAATATTAGACATGAGCATACATGCATTCTTTTTTACTTTCTTATCATTATAATTACAAAAAAAACATCCGATGACAATTATGAAAAGCTTTTTTTTTGAAAATTTCGTTGGAATGGAAAGTTCCGCTCGAAAAATTCATTACCACTACCGGGCGATCAATATTTCTTATTAAAGTTCGAGATGTCTTTGTTTTAAAGTAACGCGATTTTGAGAATTATTGCGGCTCCGCGTTTTTGTGCCCCAATTGGTTGGACAATTTGTTTTCTGCTCTTCATTTCTCGCTAATGTTACCTTTGAAAAAATGCTGTTTACCTCGTGTCGAAACATTTAGGAAAAAAAAAAAAATATATTCTTGACCCGTGCTCGCGTTCATTTCGTTAATTTGTACGAAATTTTTAACTTCAAACGGGAGAATCCAAGAATAAAAGCCTTCCTTTCTTGTAACCATTGCGCAACGTAATAATATATCGATAATTGCATAGCGGAGCAAAATTTCGATCGACCGTAAAAAGTATCAAGATGTTTGGAAAGAAAAAGTATCTGTAATTACGAGTCGGTAGCGTCATAATTTTCTCATCGTTTTGAGATTTAGAAAGTGATTGCGAATCATTGTTCCGTAATTACGATGATTCATCGAAACCTCGGCTCTTGCCATCAACTCCAGAACAATATTTTTTTTTTTGTTTTTTCTTTCTCATTCCGAAACACTACTAAGTATATCTTCAACATAGCAAAATGAACTAAAATTATCTTCAGACTCCGTCAATCACGATTTTTTCACGTTAAATCTAGATAAAGGTACATATTTTTGTCACCGCATTAACGATTGCCGAGAAACTGCTCGATAAGATAATCCACCGGGTAATACCGTTAACAAGCGTGCACATACCCGCTTTCAACACGACGTGTCGTTATCTCGATTTGTAATCGATTCTAATGCGCGAGCTTTTGAAAATTGTTCTGCCTATATTTATGCCTCCGCCGAGAGTCTACCACAGCATCGATAACCAAGTTCGGCAAACCCTTCACCAAAATGGCTCAAAGGACCAAAAACCAAATGAATGACAATAACAAAACCACAAACGACAACGTGATATGTGTGCACCTATACGTATAATAGGATGTGTATAGCCAGTGAGCACCAACCTGTCTGCTTGATGACGCGGCCGGTGGGCACGTGCGCACTCGTGCCTCTCTTCCCTCGTTCTCCTGATATGAGGGAGTGCTCTCGGTGCTTGCACCACAGCTTCGTATCTTAAGTACTTGTAACAGCAGCTCGCCCGATGCACGCGCACTTTGGCTACTCTCCTCTTGGGTGAATATAACAACGCGGATGCAACGGCACTACGGGTACTCGCAAGGAGAAAAAGGAAGGTAGGCGTAGAGGAGGAGGAGGAGGAGGGGGGATCGGGTGGGTAAGGGTGGCCGGGGGAGGGACTGGGCTAGAAGATCAGTGGGCCAGGCACTCCCTCGTGCGCATCTTCCGCGGTGCAGCAGGTGACAATCCCACCACCGTGTCGGACATCTGAGCACCCCTCGATGCGATACTTTTTTGTATTTTTCGTCCTGCGGACACACTCACGGGCACTCGTGATATTCCCTCGTTTTCTGTTTTCAATTGCACAATGAAACGTACGTAACACTCGGAAAAGGAGCAGCCGTGGAAAGGAACGCGCGCTCGTCACTTGATCGGTTGCACTCGATCGGCAGGACACCTCGTAACAGTCAACTCGACGCGATCGCTTACAGTCGCTATCATGGTTTTTCCAGTACCGATTTCCCACAAATCGGCACGCACACACGCGTCAAACGTATTTTTATACGAAACACGAGCACTGCTGGAAGTACGTCGACGACGGGATGTCAGCTGGTCGTCATGATCGGTAAGTGTATCGGAGAGCAAGATCGTGTCGGGGCGACGAAGGGGCCGAAACTTTGGGCGCAGGTGACGGTGGCGCACACACTTTTACTCTCACTCTCGCCGCAATGAGCAACTATACGCGGTCTGTCCGTACAGTTCGCCCGATATAATACGCTGGCTGTATACGAGGACTTCAAGGACTCGCTCGCTCGCTCGCGCAAAAGCGGCGTATATAAGTAAGTAAGCACAACAACTATATATACACACAGACACAGGCACACACACTCGGCGCTCTCCTATTCCTTTCTCTTTATCCTTTCGCTTCGCTCGCCCGCTCCGCTCGCTCTCCGCCGCTGTACGTATACACGTACAATATACACGGTAGGTACACACTGCTCCTGCTGCTGCTGCCGTTGCCACTATGCTTCGTTACTTACTTTCCTCCCCCCCGCGTACTCGGCTCTTTCTCCGGTCGTCCTTCGACTTTTGCCGCTGGATTTAGCTGATGCCGATGCTGCACAACACTTTTCGCTCTTTCACCTCCTCCTCGCGCTTTTCGCCGGGGCTCTCTTTCGATCGGCTCGCCAATCCACTTTGCTCTTTCTCTCGCAACGAGCACACAACTATACGCAAGCCAAAGCCGTGCTCTATTCGCGCCGGGGTTTTGTAATCCACCTTTTACGAAACGCGAGAGCTGAGCAGTGCCACGGCAAGCCAGCTCGTTGCCACCGAAGTGAGAGCGGAGTAAAAGCACACGGGCCGAGACTGTGCAATCTTCCTTCCCTTCTATTCGCGCACTGGTTTTTCCTTTTCTTTCGACTCCGATTCACCGAAAACTGCGATGAGATGTTTTCTTTCCTCTTCGTCTTGTTTTGTTATTTATTTCGAAGGTTCACAGCAGACGCGCACTTTGTGTATTCACAAACTGTAGGATCGATCGCGCAAGCTCCGCAGAGGTGGTAATCGGTAACGGTGAACCGGTCTCAATACCGATCTCGGCTCGGAGAAGGTAAAAAAAAAAAAAAAAAAAAAAAAAGTACGAGTTGTCACACCCAAGCCAGCTGGACGACGAACGGGTCCGGTGCACCGAGCTCCTTGCCCGCGGATTCAAGCTCGCGCGCTCTTTGCCTGTTGCTCTGATGCCAGTGGCGCACGGTGCGGTGCGCGCGCGCGCTCACGGTATACAGCCCGAACTCGGCGCTTTCAACTTTTACTTTCGAGCTCTTACACAACACGCGGCCGCCGCCGCCGTCACCGCCACCACTGCCGCCACCGTCGCGTTCGGCTCGCGCTGCTGCTCACGCTTGCGTACCTCTATACATGCATATGTATGCACAGACGTGTGGTGTATATATATAAATTGTAACAGACCGCGAGAGCCGGGAAAGGAAAAGGAGTCGGAAGAAGAAAGAGGGCTACCTCCGACTCTCGGAGCTTTTTTTGCCGCGCGCCAAACTTCAAACGCACGGCCGGAGCTTGCGCGGCCGAGCTTCCAGAGATACACAGGCGGACGGACACTTGTTGCCGTGCTAGCTGTTTGTAGTGAAGTAGATACACGCGAGAGTCGTCGGGCGCACTGCTCCACACGTTTTAGAACACAGCGGAGAAACCACACGCACACACGTACAAACGTGACAATGGGTCGAGAGAGGTGGGAGGGACGCGTGCGAGCGAGAGGCAGAAAAAAAAAAAACAGCTCACGTAATAGTCGTCGTCGGAGGGGGCCGCGTCACGTATATACATGCGATGCAGCAGCCGAGGAAAAAGTATACACGCGGGCGCGCGCTCCCAATATCAATTGACGGAGAGATAGGAGGGCCCTCCTCTGCTGCCTATATGATATATAAATATGCACCACTGCTGAAGCTGTTAAAGAGCCGATGCTATCTGTCGCGTTGAGTATACGCGCTCCGCGAGTCTAGAGTGTGCGATTCTGACAGACGGAGGACAAATGGATAGAGGGTGGAGGAGAGAGACACTTACGTGTTGGCGATGATGCCGATGTTGGGTTATGCGGTATCGGCAGTATTGCGTATCGGATCGCTCTCTGCGTGGATGCCATCGAATATACGCACTTGCATATGATACACAAGTATATACCGAGCAAAGTCGTTGTTTCGTCTTTTTTTTTTTTTTTTTTTCATGCCGATGAGGAAAGGAAATAAAAATTCCTTAAAGCTGTACACCTCGTGTACCGTATACGTGCACGTATATGCCTACATGATCAGTGTGTACCAGTACCGGTCAGTATACAGGAGCTGAGATGGAAAGAAAGAGCGAGTCTTTCTCCTTTCCTTTTTCCCCTTTTCTTCGCTCGTTTGCACCAAGCTGGGTGGTTAAAGAGCGAGATCCTATACGTATACTGTATACAGGTAATACACCAACCATTAGAGAAATAGTAGGATAGGTATATAACACGGGTGAGCGCCGAGAGAAAGAGGGGAAAAAAGAGAAGGCGCGTGCTGCCCCTGATGCTGATGCTGGAGGATATAGATGTATTGTATCGTATGTATATATACCTGTACGAGATGAGAAGTGGAGGAGGTAGCAAAGTGTGTAAGTAAATCTCTCTCTTTCTGGCCTCTCGAGTGGCCCGTTTGGCGAATATATACATTGGAGAGCCGGCCAGGTGTTCTGTAAGCTAGTTATATACCTACCTATCGTGAAACTAAGAAATAGAGACAAACGGGCTCTTGCCGGGTGAAAGGGTTTGGCTGCTCTGTACCGATCTCTCTCTCTGCTTGGAAATTTCGTGTGGTGGCCGGGCCCCGGGGCTGTGCGTTATGTATGCATAAATAGCCAAAACTTTGCATTTTCCAGACGAGCAATCCGCTTATATATATATATATGTATACGGTTTACACCAGGGGAGGGGCTGGGTTATACGAGGTCTTTAGTGCTGTGTTCCGGAGGATGGGCCCTGAGGTGCTTTCCTCTTGCTTAATCCGGGAAAGTATGCTAGTTGGGACTGATTTTCTTTCCTTTTTTTTTTTTGTTTTTTTTTTTTTTGTTTTTGGCAATGTGGGCCGTGCCTATGGAAATGTTTTGCTCGGGGGCATTTCGGGCTCAGAAGTATAGGTATATACGAAATCTTTGGTGTTTGGTGGGTTTTGTTTGGGGTGTGTTTCGATCGACCAAAAAGAAAGGTTGGAGGCCTACTTTTGGAACAGTATCTTTTTGTCAATGTTAGGTACGTCACGTCAGGAAGCACCGAAAGGAAGTACACGGGCACGCCTCTGAAAGCTGTGTACACGACTCTCTCTGGTCCTGATGTCACAATAGCGTTTCGAAGGCGGATAGCCGTGATGTCACAATGAAATCTCAACCCTGTACATGTGTATATATACATACTTATATGAGTGAGTTTGGTGTACATTTAACTCGTTTTGACGATAGAGAGAAAGAGAGTAGAAAGTTTTCACGATTTTTTTTTCTTTATTTGATTTTATAAGTTTTGTATACCATCGATATTTGAAACACGAATGGATTCAAGCTGTGCCATTTATTTGCTGTATTTACTGCTTTTGATATCACTCCATGAACGTAATCGTCAAACTCGTCCTTTTTAGTTCAAATTGTTACTACTTTCTTTTTATATAAGTGAGGGGGTTGATGTTTTTTTTCACTATGAGACCTCAAATTTCAAACTTTGATACGTAACACAAAACTAAGTATAAGGTAACGTGAGAAAAAATCCCTAACAGCGACGAAATCACAGGTGCTTAAAACCCAGGTACTTTGAGTGATAGATACACTCAGAGCTTTTACCCTACATAGGAAAAAGTATACACGTGCAAGTAGACTGCAAATGTCGTACTCGAAATTTAGCACTCCACTAGGCAAGGCTTTGACACATTTTAATCTTTTTCTTCCCACCATCTCGAAATCACTTTCTGTTTTCTATGTAACTCCTAACTTCCAACCACTCAGCCACGTCTCCTTGGTCCTATTGTATCCTTATTTCTTTTTTCGCGTCTCACCCAGTCATTCCAACATCATGTACTTCTCAAGTACCTGCAACTGTAAAATTTACCCGTGAAACATCTAACAACGTGTGTTGATTTTTTTTTTTTTTTTTTTTTTAAGGACGATGTATTTGCATTGAATTCTAAACAAATATACAAATTGCTCGATGAAAAATTTTTGAAAATTTGCAAAAATCGTAATTTTTAGGCAAACGCAAAATAATTCCATCATCCACTTTCTTTTGTAACAGCCAAGCTTGTCATCTATGCGCTTTATGACGTACACCAACCTTCGCTATTACGTGCTATACTTGGTTAATACGCTCTTCCGGATACAATATACTGTACACGCGCTGCCGAGGTCGGTCTTTTTTCTTCATTTTTTATTTTTCCTTTTACTATTTACTCGTGCGCGCACACGCGCAAAGTCACCGCGAACAAGTCACGCCTATCGCATTACACTTTGTTATTTACTCCGGCTGACAATTTTTTTCGTTTTCCGCTCACGCGTATAAGTATACGTGTACAAAAATATGCACGCGACTGAGACGCAAAAATTCAAAAAGACAGCGACGTTGGTGTACACACGTACGAGTACTCGCTCGATCGAGGGAGCAAAAACAAAACAAGCAAGTAAATAAATAATACCCTCCGCGATTGCAGAGAAAGGCTTTTTTTTTTTTTTTTTTGGGAAATCTGAAATTCGCATTTACTCATCGCGCGCATTATCTTCATTAAACGTATATAAATACGCGTGATACAATGTTTCAAGTGCCTCGGCCAACAATCGCTCGTTATCATCGGCCCGAGATAACAAAGATAGTGTAATGAAAAAGAAAATAACAAAAAATTCAAAAGCGAAAACATCAAATGAAAGCTCCGTTAGTTTACCCATGTCACGCGTAATGCTAAAGATACGGATTTTAAATGCGCCCACATTCTGGTGATGCGCGGGTCCATAAAATTCACCCGAGCCCCCTCGCGATGAAAAGAGAACTGTTACTCATCGCTTGAGCCAAACCACATCACGTGTATGGGTGCAGGTACTTTGGCTGAGCGGCGATGGCAATTAAAAATTGTATCAACGGCAGACCGTAGGTAGATAATTGTCCAGGGTATCGCGATGGTTATTCGTCACGAAGCGAGTGGATATTATGGTAGGTACATGCTTCCGAGGTAAAAGATATGCGATGCACGCAGCTCGATGCTTTTTCTTGCACACGTCCTCTGACTATGAACTATATATTTATGTGTGCGTGTGTGTGCATAGGCGTACGCGTGCTAGCCGCAGAGTGTCTTTGTCGTCGTCGACGAGAAGAGAGAGACCTTGTGCTCGTCTGCCCCCGTGTGCGGCTCGGGTGTGAGCTTACTCAGACGCGTGCAAGTATAAGTACATCTTACTTTTCTAACTGCAGTTGTCAGCTTTTTGATTTGCATTTTTTTTTTTTTTTTTTTCCTCAAGTTAAACTACTTGACTGCACGTGGCTCTCTGTCTCACCATTGTACTGTGGTATTGCTGCGTTCGTCGGTTCTTTGTCAGTCAGGTGTGTCTCACATGTGTAAAGAGCCTTTGACAAATTAATCCAAATGGCGATTAACAGTTAGTAAAAAGAGATTTGCCCGCAATCGTCTCTTTTTGGTTCTCTCTTGATCGAGATCTATGATGATGCTACTGAAATTTCTTGTATTCTTTGTTGAGAAATGAGTCATGAAAATTTAAATGAGTCACAACGAAAGAAATTTTCTCCCTCGTTTTAATACAAGTAGATCATGCCTTTTATATCTTGTAATTTTATTCCAAAGACAATAAGTTCACCTTCTTTTTTCGAATAAAGTGATGAAGTAATAACTAGTGAGTTGTGCATTATCGTTGTCATTAGAAATTCCAGTTGGAATAAAAATCTAGTGAGTAGTTGAAAAAGTCTCGATGAGTATTTTACTTTATTGACTAAACAAGCGATAAAAATTAATTTCATTGCTTGACAATAGTTTTAAAGACAATCCGTACATCGTATTAACTCGATTGACAAAGCTATTA